GATGGTGATCGATTGAAGCACTGCTCCCCTCTCACTCGCCCTCCAATCCCCTAACATCCAAAAAAAAATCTCATTGGCTTCTAGGATTTGAAAATCTTATGAGGGTTTAGTGGGCCCGTCGATGCTAGTCTGCATGTGCACACTACACGTCTACTGATTTACATATCAAATTTATAAAAAAACCAGTTCTAGATTTTTATTCTTTGCAGACATCAACTCTTTTAAGAAGCTGCACATGGTAGCTTGGGATAAAATATGCTTGCCCAAATGCAAAGGGGGTTTGGGTTTACCTTATATAGCTGCTTTACAATTCGCTTTCAACTGCACTGTTATTATCAGGATTTACAACATCCCTTCCCTTTTAGCTGATTGGCTTTTCAAAAAATACTCCTCTCCCTGGATGCCTCCTCATGCCTCTGCTTCTAAGTTCTAGAAAGCTATTTGTAACACGGCCCAGATGGTTAAAGGCTGTTTTAAATTTAAAATCACCCAAAATGCTCCCATTTCACTTACTTGGGATCACTGGTACAATTGTGGCACTCTTCGAGGCTATCTGGGTGGGGATATTTTTGATAATATGCCTGATTTTGTGTTGAAGGATCTCATTTCTCAAAACAGCTGGGTTTTTCCTGAGGGATTTCCTCACATTCTGCGGGGTGTTATTGAGAATATTTCTGGTATTGGCGGTGATGGGCCTTGCTTGTTTTGGAAAAACAGTAATGTTCACAAGTATAAACACTTTTTAGAGGAGTACTTCTCGGAGATGCCTTCTTGCTTATGGCACAAAATGGTGTGGCACAAAAGGCATATTCTTAAACACTCAGTTTTCGTTTGGCTTGCATTACATAGGGGGCTAAAGACGGCTGAAGCTCTTCTTCTTAGGAACATTCAGGTTCCTCGCACTTGCAGTTTATGTTATGATAATGATGAATATGTTTCTCACTTATATTTTGAATGCCCCTATTCATTTAATATTCTGCATGCTCTTATTCCTAGAATGCATAGCTTCTTTCCCCGGCCCAATATTTTGCAGGTTTTTGATTGGTTGAAGGTTGCTTTTAAGGGGAATGCCGTGGTTTTTAACTTTTATAATCTGGTAGTGCGCTGTGTGATATACTACATATGGAAGGAGAGGAACAATAGGAGATTTGGTAATAAAGCTCTATGCTTTACCTCTCTATTGTTATGCATTAAAAGAGCTATATATGAGAAGGTGTGGAAATGGGGAAACTCTTTGGAACTGCTGGAAATGTTCTAAAAGGATGCCACGACTCTGTTCTGAATGCTATGTTTTATCTGATGGCTGTATTTCGTGTATCTGCAGCACGCCATGTCTGGACAATGATGAATCTCCCTGTGCAGATCCCTTGGACGGTCTTCGGGCAACTAGGGAAGTGTTCCTTTCGATAATTTTCTTGTTAAATCCGAGTCCAGACGATTAAGGCTTGGGAGCATTTGGTCTCTGCTTTATCTGTCATGTTGTTGGGTTATGATGTTAGATTCATTTTTGGTTTTTCTTTTGTATTTGATCTTATGAGATCAGTTTTGTTATTTTTTGAAGTTTGTTCAAGCTTTGGCCATTTTTTGTTGGCCATTTTTGCAGTAGTTCTGGTGTAATCTTGATGAGTTTTATATACGGGCAATGCCCAAAATTTTCCCAAAAAAAAAAAAAAATGAGACTTTTTCAAGTTTATATGCAATGATAATAATAATATATTATCAAAATAATGTTTTATATATCATAAGGAAATGATAATATATTATCAAAGCATGCAATGTTTATATATCATAAATATATATTTATATTATTTTAGAATATTTAGATGATAGATGAATATTTAATTTTTGGAGTTTACTAAAAAATTTAGCAGATATAGGTAAAAAATGGTGTTGCAAGAGACTAAAAAATTTATGAGGAATATCAAGAAATGGGAAATTTATGGGGTATGATGTAGTTAATAATAATTTAACAAGTATTTGTTTTTTTACAAGTGATATTAGAGAAGTTGTTGATATAATATCGTAGATCTAAACTCTTTAAAATGAATATTGTGGTGAAAGTTTGAAGAGATTTATGGCATGGGAGTTGCATTTAATAGATTACTTGATGTTCATTCGGTCATTCTCCTTAGAAGATAGAGACTAATGGTCAACAACTTTAGTAACACTCTTGGTGTTGACATCGGAGTTATAATTAATATTAACAATGTGGAATAACCAATTACCAAGAATAATGTAAATTTTTGAATTGATGTTGGAAGTTAGGGTTGGTATCGACAAAATGTGCATCAACTTTATAGACGATGGATGGTATATATTGATGTTAGCGGCAACAACGTAAGTAAGCCTTGACCTTTGTAACAATGATATGGATCAACCTCTTATAGGTGATAGTTTATATTCACGTTGTTGGCGATATTGGTGATGAAGTTGGCTAGTGTTAGTATTGGTGTCGACAATGTGCATCTGTTTTATAGGTGACGGTGTGTGTAAATGCTATTGGTGATGGAGGACAACAATTTCAATGGCATCAGTTTAGTTGGGCTATAGTGTTCATGAGATTATAGTAGCGAGGTTGATAATGGTTGAGGGGTCGTGGTTGGGCAATGTTGATTAAATGATCGTAGTTAGGCGATGATAGCTATAGGATCGTAGTCGAGTAAATGTGGTTAAAATGATTGTAGTTATGTGATAGTGGGTAGATGAACATAGTTATATAAATGGTGCTAGGAAAACCATAATCATGTAATGGTGTTCGAGCAACTATGGTCATGGTATGGTTAGAGGACCATAGTTAGGCGATGGTTGCAAAACTATAATCGAGCAATGAAGATAGGAGAACCTTAGTCAAACAAAGGTGCTTCGAGGATCGTAATCAAACAACAATGGTTTTAGGCTATAGTCAGGTGAGAGTGTTTCAAGGATTGAAATGAGAAGATGATGGTTTGAGGATCATAATTAAATAACAGTGGTGGAGGACTATAGTTAGATGCTGGTACTAAATGATTGTAGTTTGGGGATGGTGATTAGGAGGCCATAATTGGGTGAAGATGGGTGGAAGAATGTAATCGTTGATGGTGGTAGGAGAGTTATAATTATGTAATGGTGGTTGGAGTTTTGTAGTTGAGCGATGATAGTCGAATGACTATAGTTGAGCGATGGTGTTCGGAAGATCGTAGTCTAGCGATAATTGCAAGAGGATTGATGATAGTGTTTAGATGACGATGAATGTCCAACGATGGTGGTAGATGGTGAATGTTAGGCAGCGACAACTAGCATCACAGGCAATGAGGCAACAGTCATTTGACGATGATGGATGATCATGGATGGTTGATGGCAAAGGTTAGGTAGCTATAGAGATTGGTTTGTAGTGGCAGTGAAAAAGTTATAGAATTCTTCATATTTCAGAGATCTCTTTGATCTTCAGTCCAACCCTCATTATGTATGGAATGGGGGTTTATTTTTTTTTTTTTTGAGAGTGGAGCTCTAGAATCCTTCTATCATTGAGCTCCCATGAAGAATGCTTGTGCGTTTTTTCTAAAATTTTTTTAATGCTTGTGCATCTCAAGATTGTTAGATAAAAGAAGGTTTGTGATTTAAATATATGAACCATAATCAAATTATGCCTATGCTTTCCATAAGCTGCTCTGAATGGTGCTTGAACTTCGCTAATCTAAATCCATAGCTAGCTGATATAGATGATACTCATAAAAGAATCAAACAAATTGATGGTATTGAATAAAGGGCTAATTTTTAATTAAAGATTACAATGTGATCTCTTTTATAATAAGACCATCTTTAAGCCTCTCTCTCTCTCTCTCTCTCTCTCTCTCTCTCTCTCTGTATATATATATATTGTGTGCGCGCGCGCATGTCATATTACTTAAAATTGAAAAAAAATATGCCTATTATTTGTTTTCTTTTAAAAGTATACCAAAAAATTCATTTTGGCCTCCCTTTTTTTACCGCATAATACTTATTTAAAGTTTAATGCGATCGATGGGCATTAGTTCCAAAAAGGGTTCAAATCATATTCTAACAAAGTTGGGTTCATGTTCAAACCTCATTCATACATTGTTTGAACACCGTTCAAGCAAAAATCGAATGAGGTCTGAGCACTACTCGAACAAGATTTCAAAAAGGGTCAAAATTCAGTTCAAACAAGGTTCTAGCAAGGTTTGAACATGGATTGAATAAGATTTTAGCAATATTTGAACATAGTTATAATATGATGCGGACATGATTCAAATAAGGTTCATTGAAGAGAAATGGACAACATAATATAGTGCAATTCTTGTATATAACCCAACATTCATAACATAATATATGTAATTTGAGAAGTTAACAAAAACTATAGAAGATTTTGCATTTTTGCTCATTTAATATTTGACATAATCATAAAAAAATAGATTTAGAGTTACATTGAAACTAAATTCTTTAAAAGATAATACTCGCTATAAACTAGCACAACTTATATATAAGAAAGTGAATCTAATAGCTCTTGAAGATAATTAAACTTCAAAACATTCTCATCAAGATATGGGCAAATTATTGGGTCAGGTGACCGAACGCAGAGATAGGTCCGGATATTAATAAAATATTATTTTAAAAATAGCGCAAGTAAAGCGCAGGTAAAGCGCAACTAAAGCGCAGGTAAAGCGCAAGTCAAAAAAGCGCAACTAAAGCGCAGATAAAGCGCAACTAAAGCGCAAGTTAAAAAGCGCAACTAAAGCACAAGGTGACGCGGCAAATTTTTATTGGATGTCCGAACTTATCTTTTGCCTCCGGTCACCTGACCCAATAATTTGCCGAGACGTGACTGTGAGTTGACCTTCTTAGGATGACAATTTGTTACGAAAATGCCCTCCCTCGCTTTAATCTTGAGCAGTACATTTATGAAATAGTAATTAGTGCAAAATTCAATAATATCAAATGCCATATCATTGCCACTAATGTTATTCTGGATTTAAAGTTTATAGTTTAAATGATATTGGTAAAACTCGTCACTAACTTTGAATAACTAGTTGAAGATGGTGATGCAAACTTTGTGGCAAATTGAGTACATGCAAAAGATCACCATAAAGGAAGAAAGCAATGGTAGAGCAGCTTTTTCTCAAGAGTTTATGGGGAAATTATTCTGTGCGATCAACGAATCGTTCGTAAGCTGGTCAGAATGCGTCACGTCACCTGACACATAACGGTACACATCACCAGCAAAAAATAATGTGACGCATCCTGATTCGCAATCAGACGACATCTAGTGACCTCATAGAATAATTTCCCAATTTCATGTGACTGATTGCTGAAGGATCCATTCCAATTTATTTTTTTTTTCAATAGAGGATATTTTGGGATTATTTAAAAAATAAATAATAAAAAAATAATAAAAGAGATATTTATTTGATTTTAAATATTATGCAAGACACACATAGGCTTGAGTAAAATATTTTTAACATTTTGTGGCCCTGCGCTCTGTTTCCGTTGCTCTCCTGGATTCTAAGGGGGGCTAAATTCCATAAGATTTAGATTCCCAGAGGCCATATCACTTCGCACAGTTTTCTACAGCGCCTTCGCATGGCTTCTACTGGCCCTCCCACATGGCGCTGGCCACCGATCGATGCCTCACGCCCCTCCCTCGGCAGTTCCTCCGTATCGCTCTCTACCTTATTCCTTCATGATCCGATCAGGCGGTTCACGGTAGCGAGGCGGCTCCCTCGGTCTTCGACGCGCGATCCTCCGCCGTCCATCGAGCACCAAAAGATCGATGCCGATCTCGAGTTCTTATCCCCGGAAGTGGTCGAAAAGGGGTGGAAGCAGAGCATGGGAGCTACACCAGTGGCGAGGGAAGCGGAGATATTTGCTCCGCTGAGCCGGAGGCAGAGGGCTAGGCTTCGCCTAAATTCGATCCAGAGGCGGCCGCTGTGGAAGAGGATTGTTTTTGCATCAAAGAAGGTTAGGAGCATCATACTGCTGAACGTGATTACAGTGATCTATGGTAACTAATCTCTCTGTTTCCCGATGCTTTTTCATTGCATTCCAATGCTTGTTGTGAATCCTGATTTTGGTTTCCGAATGTGTTGAAGCTTTAGATTTTCCATGTAGATTTTTAATCAGTAGCTGAATCCATTAAATTTATAATTGGCGGCGAAGGGGCTGGTACCACTTAGTTATACGCTTGCATTTTACTAGAGTAGCAGTTCCACTGACGTTATTGTTTTTGTCCAATTGAGTTGTTTGGACTTCGAGGACTCAAAAATTAAAACTAAATCTTTATAAGATCTGTTTCGCAATGTGTACAGCTTTGCGTGATTTCTTGTTTTGGTTTGGACTCCGTGAAGATTTGAACCATATATGATATTCATGTAACCTGCATGTACTACTCACTTTGTTGAATTGTCTATGTTAAATTAAAGAGAAAATAAATAGGGTGAATTCAGAAAATCATGTAGAATATTAAAATTTACGTCATCTAATGTTTTTATCATAAGACTCGGGCTTGTAGTAAAATCCTAGCCTCAGTAGGTTTCCTGAGAATGTGGTGAATCATTAATTGGTGCCAGTTTCAATTCCTATATAGCTTCCTCCAGTAGACCCACAATTGGAATGTTGTGAATCTTTAAATTGAGGGCATTTATGCATGTGAACTGCCTCATTAAGCTTACTGTGAAGAAATGCACTGGGTACATCAAGTTGTAAGACATCCCTGTTGTGATGTAGAGCTATTGAAAGGATAATTCTAATTGTGGGCATATTAGCTGCATGAATGAATGTATCTGTGTAGTTTATGCCTTACTCTTGCTTCTATCCTTGTGCACAGAGTGGGCTTTGTGTTGAATAATGATACCATCAGAATTGATTTTGGATTTGAATGTCCATCAACAATCTGGGACATTTTGGCGTGCAAGGAGGTGTACAAGTGTACTCATTCCCTGTTGTTAGTGAGCTTGAAATTCCCAAGACATGGTTTGCCTTCATTTCCAATCCTTGATGGCTTGAGTGTAGCATGTTGGATCGACATGATGCATGCTGAAAAATATGCATGGGCTTTGGGGAGCCTGTTTTAGATCTAGTGAGCATGTGATGATCATTAGTAACTAGAATATGTTGTTGTTGGGAAGAGGATGAGGTTAGCATTTGATGTGCGGGGCTTGTGGATTCAGAAGTGAGTGGGGTATTTTAGGCAATGGTTGGACTAGCGTTTGGTGGCATTTGAATGATGATTCTTGTGGAGGTTGGGGATGAATGATTTCTATTCTATGAGGAGGAGGCAAGATGAGGGATTGAAGTTAGATGTGTGAAGGCTGGCATTGTAGGCGTAGTTGTAGGTAAGGGTTGGTGTTGTTAATAGTGTCACGACTAGGTTTGGAGGTTCGAATTAATGAAGTGGGAACGGACTGTTGAACACTTATTTAAATTTTCTTTTACTAAAACTATTTTCAACATACTGAAATAGCCACAAAATCCTCAATAAATTTTAAAATAAAATACTATAAATACCATAAAAAAAAGGGAAGGACTGCTTTTATTAGCTAGGAAAATGACATACATGTAATGAGTCTATTTCAGTAGAGGGGATACTACGCTGTATATCCTTTTATTTATATATGTAGCTGGGAGAGACTTGAGCAGCATTTAAGAAGAAAAGGTTTGTTTTGTTTCAACGCTGCTATGATCCTTGGTGCTGTTGTAGCTTGCGGTTGTGCTGGATTTGCAGTGTTAGTGAATGGGCCAATTTGCTGGTCCCTGCAATAGCTGTTAGTGCCGTTATTAGTTTGTCTTTTAGCATTTTGTATTTTGCATGATGGATTCTCATACAAAAAACAAGTTAATTCACTAAGTAAAAAAATAGAGAAAATGACATAATTCACCAGGTTATTGTATGTTTACGATTCTTCATAAATATTTAAATAATAGTATATTTTTGGGTGTAAATATAGTCTCCTTGCGATATCAATTGTAGTTTTGTAAGATAATGTAGGCTGGAAAATCTGTTTAATGAAGGAACTTTTAACCATTCTATTCCATTACACCTTTTTCCCTACCATATTATTTCTGTGTCTAAAAAATTCATTTCACCATTTCCAGCAAGTGATATTCCTGTCTTGAAAGAAGTTGAGCAACTTGTAGATCCAGCACTTTTCACTGTAGTGCGCTTTGCTTTGACAGCAGTTCCTTTCCTTCCTTTCATGTTAAAGGCACATGGGGACTCCCAAACTCGGTCTGCAGGAATGGAGTTAGGTTTTTGGGTAAGTTTGGGCTATCTGAGTCAGGCCCTTGGACTACTCACATCTGAAGCTGGACGTGCATCCTTTATTTCTGCCTTGACGGTGTGGTTTAATCCATCATGCTTCATTGTCACATTCTTTTTTGCACCTAAACCATAACAAAACAATAAAAACAAAAATGCCTTACCTTGTTTGTAGATAATTGTTGTGCCATTTATTGATGGCATTTTTGGAGCAACCGTTCCAGCCATGACTTGGTCTGGAGCACTTCTTTCTCTAGTGGGTGTTGCTATGCTTGAATATGGCGGCTCTCCGTGTGTAAGTAATTCACCTTTTTCAATCAAACACTAATTTACAGTTATATAAGACTTTCAAGTGTATGCTTTATGTCTTGAACTTTATATGTTGGTCCGCTTATGTTAAGGTTCTTATGTATGATATTGTTTGAAATTGTCTGAAGCAAGACAAAAGCTTTAGCAAATTAAGAGATGGAAGATCTAGACTTTAATCAAATTAGATGCATTAATAGTGAAGACCAAAAATAATAAAATTTTGTTAAAGATAATAACATCAATGAAAGATGAAATCACTTTTTTAATAAATTATTAAATGAGAGTTTATAGAATAGAATTTTTCTTAGGAGATTATTATTGATGAAATTATTAAATGTTGATTGATGCTAAAAAGAGAAGCATTAGCTCGTAATGAGATGCATAAAATCTAAATTTTTAAGTTCAAGAAGGTTCCTATTGAGATCTTGAGGATTATGATAGTATAATGTGGGCTTCGAAAATTCGCGTCCTAGCCTCCCCTCTTTCAGGAGAGTTTTAATAGTTTAGGTTCCGACGTAAAATTTCAGAAGGCAGATTGGGTTTGGAATAAGACACTACCCAGATATTTCACCCTCATTTTGCGAGGACTTTATATCTGAGTTATAGTTTCTTATAGGCGCAAGTCCCTATAGTTAATTACACCTCCCGATAACGAGAGAGAAATTTCGATTAAGGCTAATACTCAAATAGACACGTAATATATATCTGGCATATAGTAATAACGTGGGCTTAATTTTGAGATTTAATATTTGAAATTTTATCATCTTGCACATAAAGTGAATGGTCGGGGAATGATGATGAGCCTGATCAAGATCTAATGGTTCTGTCATCCTAGGTCAACATGGTCATGGTCAATTTAGTCAGAGGTTGTAGTCGACCCAACTTGATAGAAGGATCCTTGTCGGCAGCCATAGGTTTCTTTATCCAAGGTTACCTTGTATGCCTAGGGTGAGTATTTGTCTAAGGGAATAGATTTAAATCCATCTTATCTAACAAAGGGCTTTGTGCCCTATTGATTATATCATATTGATTCGTATTTCAAGGACTTAAAGTCATTGGGAAGCATGCGAGCTGTGACCGTAACTGTAATACAGTGGAGTCGTTGGACCAAGCCACTTGGTTAGAGAGTCGCGATCGTAATCGTTAACCATGCGGAGCCATCTGGTCAAACCACGGGTTATTTGCGGAGTCGTCCGGCCAAACCGCCGATCAGATAACCAATACCACGTCCTTACTGGCAAGAGACTATTTGAGAACGAATCTTAGTGATATTCTCGACCAGACATTAGCTCTTTGTGAGCTGAGGTGTATTTTCAAACTTGTCCATCTCAACAAATTGTTGTGGAGGGTGGATGTATTTTGTTTGAAGTATTTTGGTGCTTTTTTCAACTTTAAATATTTTGATCTTGGATGATTTTTGGAATTTTATATTTTATGGCCATTTGGGGGGTATTCTGAATGTTTGATGTTCTCTCTGGTTGAGATTTCTGTCAACACGGCCATCATTGGAGCATTTATGGTGAATTTTATTTATGGATTGAACCTTGTCGACTTTGTCTACTTGCCGACAGAGGATTGGATTTTTGTAGGCTTTGTCTTTTTTGGTGAATTTTTTTTTTGTTGTAGACCTTAAAGGCCTATTGGTGGAGCTGTAGAGGCTGGAGGGGATCCGATTGGAGAAGGGTGGGGATATTCCTCTTTCAGTATAGCCATTGATTTAACAATTCAAGAAAGTTTTTCAGCTACCTCATGGATTGCCACTGTAGAGGGATTAGGAGCACACTATCACCTTGAGAGAAGTGTGTCACCCATCAATGTTAGGTCATATCGCTATCTTCAATTTCAGAAGGATGAAATTGAGAAATTTATTAGAGAAATGTTAGAGTCAAGGATTGTCAGGCCTAGTATGAGCCCATTTTTTAGTTCACTGTTTTTATTCAAGACAAAAGATGAGAGTTGGAGGATTTGTGTGGACTACAAGGCCTTGAATAAGGAAACTATACCAGACAAGTTTTCCACCTAGTGATAGATGAGCTATTGGATGAGCTGAGTGAGATAGTTATATTTAACAAGATAGATCTGAAGTCAGGGTACCATAAGATCCAAATGAAAAAGGATGACATGCTGAAGACTCCCTTCAGAATACATGAGGGACACTATGAGTTCTCGGTGCCTTTTGGTCTCACTAATTTCCCAGCCACATTCTAGTCCTTTATGAACAGGGTGTTCCAACCCTACCTTAGGAGATTTGTGCTGATTTTTTTTGTGACATTTTGATGTACAACAGGTCAAGGGAGGAACATTGGAAGCATTTGAGGGTAGTCCTAGAGGTGTTACAGGAGCAGCAGCTGATGGCCAATCTAAAGAAATGCTGCTTTGGATATGCCAATGTGGAGTACTTGGACATGTGGTGCCTCAAGAGGGTGTGACTGCGGATCAGGTGAAGATTGAGGCTATGTTGAGATGTCACTTCCCAAGTATCTCAAGGAGTTGAGGGGATTTTTAGGGCTGACATGCTATTATAGGAGGTTCGTGAGGGGATATAGCACCATCGCTTGGCCACTAACATAACAGTTAAAGAAGAATAGCTTCTTATGGGGAGAGGCGACCATTAGCTTTTGAGAGGCTAAAGAAGGCCATGACCACAATACCGATCTCGGCCTTACTCGATTTCACTCAGGTCTTTGTAGTTGAGATAAAGGCCTCAGGATATGGATTGCGAGCAGTACTCATGTAGAGCCACCGACCAATCGCTTACTAGAGTCAGGTTTTGACAGCTAAAGCTAGACTGAAGTCAGTATAAGAGAGGGAGTTTATGGCAATTGTGCTAGCTATCTAGAAGTGACGACCTTATTTTTTGCGTCAGCATTTCATTGTCAAGACGGATCAACGAAGTTTGAAGTACTTATTGAAGTAAATGATAGTAATAGAGAAACATCAGAGAGGGCTGTCAAAGTTATTGAGATATGACTTTGAAATTCAATATAAGTCAGGGATAGAGAACAAGACAACAAATGCTTTTTCTAGATGTATGGGGGATCTACAAGAGATGGTTGTGTCGATAGTATTGATGTTGGATTGAGGGACATTAAGGAGGAGAGTGCTCAGATGAAGAGTTGGGGAGGATTAGGGCAGATTTATTGAAGGATGAGAGTAGTCACCCGGACTATTCTCTAGAAGGGGAGAGGCTTCTGTACCAGGGGAGATTTGTAATGCGCAGGACATCAGTCCATATTCCACACATGCTCCAGGAGTTCCATGGGAGTGTTATTGGGGGTCGTTCAAGGGTGAAGAAGATATATATGAGACTCGCCGCATAGTTGTATTGTAAGAGGATGCACAAGGACGTGAAAGAGTTGATAGCCATTTGTGAGAACTGTCAGAAGAACAAGTACATGGCAATGGCTCCAGGAGGATTATTGTAGCCCTTAGCTCTACCAGATCCGGTGTGGGAGGAGGTCTCCATAGATTTTATAAATGGGTTACCTCAATTAGAAGGGTTTATAGTGATCTTAGTTGTGGTGGATACATTGAGCAAGTATGCTCACTTCATTCCCTACGACACCCTTACATTGTAGTGACAGTTGCAGCATCATTCTTCAGAGAGATGGTTAGATTGCATGTGTTACCCGAGTCTATAGTATCCGATAGGGATAAGGTATTCCTCAACACTTTTAGAGGGCGTTAGGGGTGTAAGTGAGCTGAGCCGGCTCGAGCTTGACTTGTTTATGGGCTCGCAAGTCGAGCTTATCGAGCTAACGAGTAGAGCTTGAGCTCGAGTTCGAGCTCATTTAGTAAACGAGCTCGAGTTCGAGCTTGAGCCGACTCGAATAAATATTAATTTTTTTAAAAAAATTATTTTATTTATTAAATTTAAATAAAAAAAATAAAAACCACCTAAGTTTTATTTAAATGTTAAACATTTCATTTTTTTCTAAATTTTGACTAAGTTTTAAAAATCTCGCTTAAATTTTAAAAATCCCGCCTAAATTAAAAAAATCTCGCCCATGTCTCGCTAGCCGGCTCGAGTTCTTTACAGTGAGACGAGTTTGAGCTCTTCTTCCAACTAACGAGCCGAGCTCGATAAGGGCCTAAACTCGACTCGACTCGACTCATTTGCTCCCCTTGAGGGTATTGTTCAGGCTGCATGGGACAATATTGAAGAGGAGCACCACTTATCAATTGTTGACAGATGGGCATATAAAGGTGGTAAACAGAAGTTTGGATACCTACCTATGATAGTTTGTGTTGGAGACACCTAGAATGTGGGCCGAGTGGCCAGCGTGGGTAGAGTACTGGCACAACACTTCGTATCACTCTGCCTTCTAGATGACCACATTCAAAGTATTGTACGAACGAGACACATCTTACATAGTACATTTTGGACAGAGTAGCTCTCTAGTTTCTTTAGTAGAGGAATACCTGGAGGAGAGGGACAAGGTGTTCAAAGAGTTAAAAAGGCATCTGTTGAGGGCTCAGCAGATGATGAAGACGTAGGCAGATGGGCATAGGAAGTACATCCAGTGCGAAAATGTGGGATATGTTGTTCTTGAAGCTTCGACCGTACAGACAGAGGACAATCGCTCACAAGAGGAACGAAAGCTGGCTCCAAGATATTTTGACCCTTATGAGATAGTAGAGAGAATCACAGCAGTGGCGTATCATTTGAGGTTGCCCACAACCGCTACTATACATCCAGTATTTCATGTATCATAGTTGAGCAGAGGTGTGGGAGATCACACAGTGAGAGTTCAAAGCTAACAACAACATTGACTGAAGAATTGGAAGTGATATTGGAGCCCCTGGAGCTCCAAGGCTTGCACCCATTCGAGGGAGTAATTAAGGAGGTGTCGATCAAGTGGAGGGACCTTCCTGATTATGATGCTATATGGGAGCCTTACTAGATGGTGAAACATCAGTTTCGATCTTTCCACTTTGAGGACAAGGTGATTCTTTGGGAGCGGGGTATTGATATCCATGGACGGG